CCGTGTATATAGAAATTTTCTCTTATGATACTCACTCATCAAAGTTAAATATACAACGAAAATCAGATTAATCAAGACGATATTTTAAAAATGGGAGGGCAAAAAAAAGTGATTAATTTAAAATTCAAAACTTAATTATATTAAAAAAATCATCGATATTAGTTCAAGTGGTAAATATTTTGTTGTCGTTTAAACAAGTTAAAAAATTAATATTTGTATATGTAGAAATTTTTTGATGATAGACTTAATTATTAAAATTAGATGTATAATATGAATTGATTAAGATTATTTAGGATAAAGTTGTTGGGTTGAATATATCTTAAAACGAGTCACCTAAATTATTGTCAGATTTATCAGTTTGTACACACCACTCGCCTGAGTTGAAAAAAAAAACACATACTAAAACAGCACGTGTCGTCTTTTCGGAATCGGACAATTTAGAATAATGACTATTTTTACATGCTATATTCTGCCTTGACCTTTTTGCAATATTATACTAAAATAAACTTTTTTCCAGTATTATTTAAATATCTAAATAATCCAAAAAAGACCTACAAATTTTTAATTTCATTAATCACTTTCCCATGGGGTGTTTTGTGATCATATCAACGTTAGCAGTATATATATATATAAAAATATATTTTGTTTTGTATGAAAATAATATAGCTGATAGGTCTCTATATTTACAAAGAGAAAGAAGAGAGAAACAGCCAAAGGTCAATGCAAGGCAGTTGGGTGTAATTTCAGGGAAGACCGATGAGAGAAACTGGGGACAGAGAGAAAGTTGTTAATTTAGTTTCTGGGGATTTAAGCTTTTTTTTAAATATAATTTTAGATTTTCTTTTTCTTTTTTGATTTTGTATTCTCTGGAAAAGTGTGCAGAGATTTCATAGAGTAGTATTAGAAACAGAAGCAAGAGGGAGGCAGCGGTGTTTTTTGCAGGTATTATCAGTGCTTCTTAAGGAATTTTACAGTGCTTTCCTTCGTCTTATTCCTTTCCCTCGTGATATTTTCTTGTTCTCTTTCCTTTTCTTTTGTTTATATTTATTTTGCTCTTTTTTTTAAACTTCCTGCACTTTTCTTTCTTGCTGCTTTGTACCTAGACAATTCCAACAAGATTGAAACAACCCAGGGTTCCAGTTCCAGGTGAAAGATAGACCTTTTTTTTGTAAAAAAAATGGGTTTTTCTTTTTGTTTATTTCCAAGTGATTGTATTTAAGAAGGTGTTATGGGGTGAGAATCTTTGTGAAAGGGTTTGAAAGCATATACCTTTGGCCATAAAGGAGTAACTTTTTTCCATACCCCATTTGAAGATTTTTTTTCTGAGTGTTTTTGAAGAGATTGAAGAACTAAAGGAAGGAAAATGGGTAGCTGTGGGAGGAGTGGTATAGTGAGGCAATATATAAGATCAAAGGTGCCTCGTTTGAGATGGACACCCGAGCTTCATCACTGTTTTGTTCAAGCCATCGGCAGACTTGGTGGTCAAGACAGTAAGTTTCTTCTTCTTATTCTTCTTCATGTTGTTCTCCAGTGTTGAAATAATGGGGTTTTTCCCTCATATTTTTTTTGACAGAAGCTACACCGAAACTCGTTCTTCAACTCATGGATGTGAAAGGACTCACCATTTCCCATGTGAAAAGCCATCTTCAGGTTCTCCATGCTGTTTTCACTTATGTTTTTCGTCTATCTTTGATCCTTTTGTTCACATGGGTCTTTCCCCCCCTTCATTTCTAACCAGATGTATAGGAGCATGAGGAGTGATCCTAGCAGACAAGGTAACTCAGTTTGCATATATTTCCATGATATTGATGTACTTTCTTCTAATGGTCATTTTCTGGTGTCAAGACTCAAAGATCATGAACTCCATTTCCACATGGTTTTTGGTAAAGAAAAACCCAACAGATGTATCACTTCATTTATTCTCTCTCATTTGATGCCAAAATTGACATGAACAGCTCATTAACTTGTTCACTTCCAAAATCTTCCACTATTGGCATGTCTGATGAAAACCCAATAAAATACCATAACTCAAAATCATTTTTTACACAGATAGGAGTTGTTCAACCTATCAAAGAACACAATCGTTTGAGAAACATGTTGGATGTACTGTAGATGCTTCAAAGCCGATTGAAGAATCGGATTCTCAACTGATATACTGTCCTCTTCCTTCAAAAAGGTCACTGCTTTACTTTATTCCTTCCCCCCATGGGGATTCAGACTCTCTTTCATAAAATATTCATACATAAAGTTAATCATGTAGTGCTTAGAAACAAACAAAAAAATATTGTACATTGCATGATCTTTTCTTTTTTGAAATCCCTTTTTTTCTTCAGGGCTAGGATCGAGACCAAGAGTTCTTCAGTCTCTGATCAGATTCCGTACTTTGTTGATGATTATCTGCAGCAGACCATTTCTGTTCATAAAGGAATAAAGCAGCATGGTAATGGGGCTTTCTTATGGAAACATACTCGAGCACAATCCATTGCCACGCCCTTTTCTCCTCCACTTGATCTTTACAATATCAGCTCCAAATATTCATTGGAAGAATCTGATTTCCTTAAGGTAAACATACATACATATCGTACACACAGATGCATACATACCTTGTCAGTTAACCCTATTACCTAGTTTCATCGTTCATTAGGTTCATGAACCATAAAAGGATTATAATTTGTCTGTTAATTGTGTGCTTTCCTTTTGTGTCAGTGATGTATAAATATATATGTAGTCTGGAAATATCATATTCTCTTATCTTGAAGTTAAAAGGGGAGAATTTTTTTCCCTTTTAGATTGAAATTCTGGGTTTTCTTTTTCTTTTCTTGTTAGCTTTTTGTCAATAATCTCTGTGATTGTTCTTTACATACTGTTGTGGTCCAGTGTGATTCTTAAGTTTTTTTTCTAATGAACCGGTTTGGTTCAAAATGAACCCTTAAACGCATTTTGACCGAGCATTGCTTCTTTTAAACCAACGGTTTTTTCAGGTTAGAAAAGTGGTGGAACAAGCAACCCTCTATTGAATTTCATGGCTTTCATAGCTTTTAATTCCCTTGTCTTGCGTAGTAAATGTTTCCCCATTCACCGGCCGGTGTATTGGTAATGGCCGGAAATGAGTAAATAAAAAATTTCATGTACTAGTAATCAAGTTTGATGATTTCCATTTCTCAGGTTTCCAAGGTTGATGTAAAGGATCACAAATACGTAGGTGGCGAAGAAGACGACAAAGTCGGTGGCTGTGAATTATCATTGTCACTCTCGTTGCAACGTCCGTCTTTTTCAGAGCGAGATCAGCAGCGGCAGCGAGGCGTTGTCGTTGGTCTCGGGCTCTAATTACAAAGACTGCTCGGGCTCATGTTCATACAACCTAAGTAGTATGAACTTGGATCTGTCTATTGCTCTTTGTGGAACCTGATGTCTACTTCGTTCCTATCTTCAGTCTTGTAATATTTTATTGTAGTTCGCTGTTAGTTTTCCCTCTGGTTAAATTGGTTTTAAATTAGGATATATGACTATAATATTTAGAATTAATTTGTCGTTATAATAGTTTGATATGATGATAAATTCAAGTTTTGAATCGGTTTAAATTTAGGGGCTGTTTGTTTGCCTCTTAATGGAATTATTTAACACTGAAATTCAACGTTGAATACTGAATCGTTCAACATTTAAAGTGTTTGTTTAGTACCTTTAAATTATTCAGTGTCAATTGATTCAGTAAAATAGTATTGAATGATTCAGTACAAAAGTATATTCTGAATCATTTAAAGACATATATCAAACATGTCATATTCAGAGGTAAATCATTCAGAGTTTCTGAATTATTCAGTATCTGTATCATTCCGTATTTGAATCATTCAGTAATTGAATCATTCAGTATTTGAATCATTTAACGATTAATCATTCTGAAATAAACAAACAGCTCATAGTTTTTTTTTTATAAAACTTTGGTTGAGTCGAGTTCGAATTTATTATCTCGAGATAATTATACAAATATTTAATTCAGTAATATTTAGTATTAACTTCATTTAATTTTTTAGTTTAATAATTATACAAATATTTTTACATATATTTAATAATTGATGTGATATGTATTATATCATTTAAAGCTTAATAACTAATAATATAATTTATTATATTTTTTTAGTATAACTATTAAAATTCGTTCTATTGATAAATTAATTTAGATTGTATACCGTAAAGGTGAGGATAATTTTTTCCACCAAGTTTATTTTATTTATAAACTTTAGAATTCAAATAACTAATCTCAATTAAAAAATTTAATGTCTTATCTTAATAGATCCGTTGATATAATCTATTATATTTTTTAATCCAAACATAAAATAAGTAGAGTATAAAATAATTTTTTGACTTTAATACAAACTATTAGAAATACTAATAATAAATTAAAATGAGATTTAAACTCGAGAACTCAGTTTCTAAAACTTATTTCTTACCATTAAGCCAAGGTTTCGAAATAAAAAGTTCGCTGGTACGAGTCTAATTTATAGTATACGTAATCATTCCCTCAATCCTTGTACTCTTCGAACTTTTAAAATTTAATTTATTTACTTTCAATTTTAATAATTTAATCTCTCTATATTTGAATTAAAAATAAAGTCCATTCCTCTATTAAACTTGAATATGTAACATTTCAACTTCAAATGTATAATTTAAAAATTCTTTCATGGTTTTGACTGATAAAAAATATATTTATAGAAAAAGATTAAATATAAGTGTTTCTTTGTAATAGAAGCCGTCTCCTCCTTTCCGTTTTTGGTAAAATCGGAAATTAAGGAAGTTTGGTAATGAGCAATTAAATTAATGTAAGATCTGAGATTAACGATTAACACTAATAATAATAAGAGTTTGTCACCTTGTTTACGTTGGTTAACTGGTTGAAGTGTTCGTCTGTTTTGTTTTTCTCAAAGAATCTTAAAACAGTTTGGCTTTAGCAGGTGACACACTCGCTGTCCACCTCCAGCGGTTCCTCCGTTATGTCCGCCGAGATGTGGATGATCATCCGCCGTGCTGGAATGGTTTTCATGACCATCTCCCTCTCCGCTTTTCTTCTTTATAATCCTTCCGGTCCCCCTCCGTTTGCTTCGTTTGTCGTCCTCTTGCTCTCGTCCTTTGCCTTCCCAACCGCTTCCTCCGGTTCGTTCCTATCCCTCTCTCACCAATAAAGATTGTAATTTAACCTCGAATAACCTATTCTGATATGATTTGATTCGATAGAATTGAATTTTTAATAAAATTTAGATCAGATCGGATAGAATTTTATAGATGATAATATCGAGTCGAGTTCATGTTTCCAATGAAAAATTTTCAATCCTACTCAATTTGGAGTATTAGTATAATTTTCATCTAAAACTTTTGGGAAAATTGCTAAAATTCTCCGTTTTTTATAGGTTTTCTAGTTAAATCATTATTTTATCAAATAAAAATATTTTTATATATTTTTATCGAATCATGTTGAATTAGAGATGAGTATTTCATTTGCATCCGATGGGCTTCGAACTTACACAATCTGGTCAAGTCAATTTATTTATTTTAAAAATTCGAATTCAGATTGTATCGAGTAAGATTTTTGAGGATGTAGTCGAGTCAGGTCCAGTTTTAGAGTGAAAACATCTTATCCGATCCGATCCGACATGACATACTATTATAATGATCTTATATATATATAGAAATAATTATAATAATATTTCTTTCTATTTTATTTTTTCAATTAGGTTTTTTATATAATAAAAAATAATTCTTTTAATAGAGTGTAATTTTTGACCTAAACAAATCGGGTTAGAATTTGGGGCAAGTGAGCCGAAAATCTGAACCGACCCATAGTTATCTCTAGGTTATGTGTAGGTTTTACTTTAAAAATTCAGATTAGATAACTGTAGGCGGAAAGAAATACTTCTCGAATTAGGTTTAGGTGGTGGGTCTATATTTCTCAAACCGAATCAAATTTAAATAAAAGGCGTATACTTTTCAAATCGAGTTGGTCACAAACCCGACCTAATTCGACCATTTGCAAACTCTAGTTACGACTCAAGTTAGAAACCTGGAATATGTTTACAAATAAAATTGTTTTCTTGTGCAGAGAGCACTGGTAAGGCTGAATCAAGTTCTGAAGAGAGCTTCGATGAAGAACAACACAGTTGTTCTAACGACATTAAACAGTGCATGGGTTACACCCAATTCGGTGCTGGACCTTTTTCTGACGAGCTTTAAGCTGGGAAACGGCACACGGAGGTTCTTGAGGCATCTGGTGATCATCGCCTTGGACGAGAAGGCATACAATCGTTGCCGAATCGTACATCGCCATTGCTTTGCTCTCCGCACACATGGCGTCGATTTTCGCGAAGAAGCTTACTTCATGACCCCCAATTACTTGAACATGATGTGGCGAAGGATTGATTTCTTAAGAAGGATGCGGATATCCTGTGGTTCAGGGATCCATTTACACGGTTCATCCCCGATGCCGATTTCCAAATAGCTTGCGACTATTACAAAGGCTCCTCCGATGATATGGAAAACAACCCTAATGGTGGATTCTATTACGTAAAGTCCAACAATCGGACCATAGAGTTCTACAGATTCTGGTTTTCTTCACGTGAAACTTATCCCAAACATCACGACCAAGCTGTTCTCGACAAGATAAAATCCCATCCTTACATCTCGGAGAAAATCCGGTTGCGGATCAAGTTCTTGGACACTGCGTACTTCGGCGGTCTCTGTGAACTCAGCAAGGATTTAAACCAAGTCTGCACCATGCATGCGAATTGCTGTTATGGGATGCTTAACAAGCTCAATGATATGAAGATCATGCTTCAAGATTGGAGGACTTTCAACTCGTTGCCGCTTAAACATCGGAACGTGTCGATTTTCACGTGGCGAGTCCCTCGGTTCTGCAGGTAAACCCGGAATTGTTTTCTTCTATACTGCAGGTAAACTCGGAATTGTTTTCTTTTTAAGTGTTGTCGCAGGAAGAGCGACATCGAACCCAAACAAGGATTGTGTAATTCTCATGGGATGAGAATCTCACATTCCCATGTTTGGTTGGCCGGGAATCTCATTTCCGATAATGTTTTATTACTAATAGTAGATTTTTTTAGATATATTACCGGGAATGTCATTACCTCCATTCCATTAGGTATTGTAACATTACCGGCATTTTAGACTAAAATGTCTTTAAATTTTTATTTTTTTCCAAAAATATTATTCTTCTGTCATTGAATAATAAAAATTCTACGAAGGTTAAATTACAAATTTATCCTTAAATTATTTTAGATTTACAAAAAAAATCTATAATTAAAATTTTATATGAAGTTTAGGAGTTTAAAATTTATTTATCCTTTTATTAAACATTTTTTATATTTTTAATTTTGTAAAAAAAATTATATAAATATTATGAATTTAATTTTTTAAAGAAAATATATAAATATTTTACAATTTGTAATATTATACAAATATATAATAAGGACAATTTGGTTAAATATACATTCCAATAATCTTTTATTCCTTTAACCAAACACGGTAATCTTACATTCTTGCTAAACCAACCAAACACAAAATACAACATTCTCAGTAATCCTATTCCTTGGTAATCTTTTATTCTCACCGATAATCTTACATTCCGTAAACCAAACTCACCCTTAAGGTTTTGTTCATACAACTTTGAACTGAAAAAGGGATTCCTGTTTTTCCTACAGGTTATAATGCCAACACCTCCGACGCTGGAGATATACCGATGTTCAACAAGGTTGGAAGTTGTATTGATGTTTAAATTAAGCTTTCTTGGTTCCTCTTGACATTTGTGCTAATTTGGGGCATTTCAATCCGTCTAACTTATTAACTTAAAAGATCATTTATAGTGCATCAACAATTTCAATTTTTTATATACTATATACGTCGAAGTAGTCAATAGTAGACCGGTGGGTCTCCGGCTGCTAAAAGATCATTTCCGAAGCCCCAGAAAATTGTTCACATATCTGTTCTAACTCTAATCAGCTTCCATCAGAGGAAATGTAATCTTACAAATGGATAACTGAACAACACAAGAAACACTTTATTATAAGGATTCCCAATGTGTGCTATGAAGAAATATTGTACATAGGCTGAATAGGCTATACAAAAATACCTTCTGAACGAGTGAAAAACACGGGCTATATATATCACAAGAACCATATGACGAGATTTTATCAGAGAACAGCATCGACATCCAGTTGCTGCCGGTCGATGAGAACACCTTCATTCCAGATCTCGATGCACCTGTAAATATAGTACAAAAATGTGAGTTAAGAATTCCAGACATAAAATTCAACTCAAGAGCAACCAGGGAATTATCGCAGTTTGTGACACACAATCCGTACAGGATAAGCATTTATTCTCATAGTAGAGGAGTATTCCAGCACGGCTACTCGAAACCACGGTAGAAACATGAAGATTACAATTCCTATATCACAGTCAATATAGTCTCCAAATATTTCAAACAATTGTGCAATGCAGATGCAAGCGCATTTTGACACGTAATGTGCAGAACTCAACTTATTATTTTATACCAGAATTTATGTGCAGTTTGTGAGAAATGCCGTCTAGGTTACATTGTGACATGGATACACACCTTGCTCCATCAACGGTTATACAGAGAAAGTGGCCATGTCGCCAACCGTCTTCAAAATGGCCAAAGAAGACATCACCAGATTTTGAATAGAAGCGACCTTCGCCATTGGCCTTTCCCTTCCAAAAGTTTGCAAACCATCGATCTCCAGTGTGAAAATAAAACCAGCCCTGCAAGACCAAATGTAAGAGAAAGTCGTAAAGATTGGTGCATATATTGTTTATCAGATGCTAACAGATGCATATAAAGTATGGGGTGCATGGAAAATTCACATCTGAATATTAGCTCCGTGTTTGAAAAGAAAAGTGACGATGGCCTAACCTTGCCATGCATCAAATCATCCCTCCAAGATCCCTGGAAAACATCTCCGTTACTGGAATAGTATGTTCCCACACCTGACCTCTTACCATAGCGCCACATACCATCATAAATGTTTCCATCGCCAAGAACAAGACGACCCTATATAAAATTTACACAACTTTCATCTGAGTTTATATCCCAAAAAAAATATACATCCTTCACAAATTGAGTTTTGTTGAATAAACCAGGGTTATATCAAAGTACCTTTCCTTCAGGAAGACCCCCTTGGCATCGTCCCCTGTAGACTCCGCCTCTATAATGCATCTCCACAATAGGACTCCACTTTTTCGGCGAGTCTCGTTCGGCTTCCTGTATTAATAATTACAACCAAAATCTTAATGCACTCATCACTTAAAATACCTTAAAGCTGAACGAAATGAAAAAGATTGAACATTAGAAATCACTTTAACAAAATGCAGATTACCAGCATAGAAGCCGCACGAGCAGAAAGTACTCCTTGCTTCTTAGGAACACCAGTCTTTCCCTTTAATACTGTAGATCCGTTGTTATAAATTTCCTTCATCACTTCAAAACTTGCATCGGTCAATGTACCCCAAGGCCTACTGGAACTGGGAAGTGCTGGGACTTTGACACCATTTTCAGATTTAGATTCTGAAAATTCCTTGGCATTCAATGTATTAACACCCTCTTTCAGTTCTTCTGAAGACCTTACTCCAACTGGAAGGCAGAAGATGCTGAGATTATCAAGCACTGGTGTAGCTTCTGAGTCAGCTGCTCTTTCTTTGGCCCACTCCTTCGCAAGCTCATTCCCGGGACCCAAGTTCCAGTGATTCAGTGATTCCCGACGGAAAGTAGGAATACCTGGACAACATTTTTGACCATAGTTTGGAAAAGAAATGAGCTGATTCAGTTTTCTAATATGAAAGATCTGCAAGTTCTTTAGAGGTTACATAGATGAACATGACTCATCAAATTGTTAATAGTTAATCCAATCTAACAAAAAAATTGCCATTGCTACCTTCCGAATTTTCCTCGTAATAGCTGGAAAAGTCAGTTTTTCCATCTAATAACGCAACCTCGTTTTGATCAGATCCACTGTCATAATTTCTACAACAGAAAAACATTTTATAATTTTATAAGCTTTTTATGGAGAGAATCTTAAAAGGCATTAAAGTATAAATGAGTTACAACTGAACCTAAAAGAGTAGATATCACTGGATTTTCTGTTCGGTACATCCTCAATTTCACTAGCATCATCACCGAAACCTCCAAATATGCCTTGTAAAGCTACTTTGTTTCCCATTTCATTGGAATTTGTCCTATTTATCGCCTTGACATCTTTTTTGAAAGTATCATTTGACTGTGAAGGATCTCTCCTCAATAGATTAAAAACAAATGGGAAACGTTGTGCCAGTCTATTGAAGAAGCCGCTTTTCTTTAAAGTTTGTTCTTCAAGATGACTGCAGTAACAATAATTTAGATGAGACTAAGAAGAGAAGGAAACAACCAGCAGAACCTGGATTCATTACCTATAAACCTACATGTGAGCAATTGAAAACTGGAAAATGATGTTGCAACAAACAGCAAAAACAGGAACCATGAAAACTAAAATATATTCTACCTAAAAGTGTACAAAAATTCACCATAAAGATAAAATTTAATAATATACTGGTTGGCATCTTACTTTTAGAAATTAGAATTCTTACCCCAAGATAACAACTGTTGTGACTAGAAGGTTGGGCTCCAGCTTAGGATCATGAACTACAGATATAATAATGTCCTTTGTGTACTCTGTAGTTTGACGGAATGTACGCAAAAAGGCTTGCAAATCATCATTGCTGATAACATTAGAACTTGCAACAACACATATAACTATGCCATCGAGGTCCTATGTCCAAAAATGAAATGGTTAAAGCTTTAATGTAACACATTCAACAAAGAAAAAGAGCAGGCTGCCCCATACAAAGAAAACAGGAAAAACAATTATATTTGAACCGACAAAAAAATAGGTGAAGGAGAACTTAAATAACATAAAGTAAAAAGTCATACATGCAAATATATTGAAACAGTTCAAATGAAACTTATGTCACATCTGCATTAAAATTTCCTTAATGATACCTTTACCCCTGCACCAATAAAAGGGCAGTCATGCATAGCTTGCGAAATTGAAGTTCTGATGTTGTAACCAGCTCCAAATCCAAGTTTTGCATTTTTGTACTTCCCAAGAATCTGAGCAAGTTAGCATTTGTAGAAAAGTTCCAGGAAAAACAAAAGAGGGATAAACAATGAAATCTTATAATTTTGGATCAAGAAAGTATGCATGTCTAAGTCCCTCAAATATCAACCAAAGTCAAGAAAAAAAGGGTCAGTAGCAGATTCAAAGGACAATGAAACATGAAGTTCAAGAACAAAATATAAAAGTTTGAGTAATAATAAACCAACAGGTAATAACTAGTACAAAATGCAATGTCAGTTCAACTTACATTTATAACTTCTGAAACTCCAAGTTCTTTCATATTATCATGAACTGCATCAATAAACTTTCTTTGCATCTCCTGGAGAATTCCCAGAGTTTAAGCATGGCATAAATTTCAAAGCCAACCCAATAAAGCAAAAGAAATGCTTACACTTATGACAATTGATATGGCATTTATGGCAAGTATAACAGCATTATTGGCAGTTCTCAAAGCCTCATCTAGAGTTACCAATTCATTTTTGAGCAAGGAGTCGGTGTCAATTTCTGCAAATAAGAACTGTGAGAACTCCTGACATTATAATGGGAAGCCTTAGGAGTTCATAAATGATATAAATATATTATCAAGTAGTTTTTAAAAGAAACGGTAAACACTCAACTAACAAAATCTTTATGTCATGTTTACCTATACAAAAGCTTATCAGCTCTTGAAGTTTTCCCACCAAATCATTGACCTGCAAATTGAGTTAACAATCAGTTTGAATTGTTGTCATAGTTATAAGCCAATAACCTCAAATTTCAAACTTCCCCCTACCAGTACAAAACCCATAGACAATCTACAAATTTCCTTTCGAATCTTAGCATATCCAAATCAAATGTAAACTCCTGCAAGATTCCAGCACAAAACCCAGAGACTCTGGCTACAAAATTCCTTTTAAATCTTAGCATATCCAACTCTAGTTGATTTTCAAATTCTCATTCGTTATTCTACATACTTACCAAAGCTGAAAATTTTAAGCTTTAGCACAAAAAGATTTCCAACTAAGGAGGTCATCTCCGATTTGTCTTTGCCATCATTATCAACTACTATAGACTATATGAAGTCCCCAGCTGCATATATGCTATGATTCACGTGTCTAATCCCTCCCCAATATATATGTATGTGTGCGAAACTCACCAAGCAAATAATATCACTTTGCATATTGTTGCATCCAAGGTATTGGGAAAAAATTGATTTTGCAACAATGTGAGGTTTGGACCCCAAAACATATGCACCAAAATGCCATGGAGATAGGCAGGCATGTAAAAAACAATAAATCTTGTTCTAAATTCAAACTTCTAGTAGAAATTTTCATTCTTGAAACAATGGACAAGTATGCCAAGGAATTATATACAATATACTTTTATACAATTATATCATATGTTCTTTATGTCAAAGAAAGAAATCATGTCACAACTTAGAGGCATCACTGACCTCATCAAGTCGTCTTTGCCCCTCAAAGGTGAAAGGTTTTAAAATAATAACAACAGAAAATCCATTTGAAGATCTTATTGCTTTAAGAATGTCCACTGCTGCAATGTGATCTGAGCCATACCCAGCACCAGCCACCTGGTTGTCAGGAAAAAAATGAGGAGCAGAAGGGATGGATCAAGCTCACTATAACAACCTACAAGTGCATTACATTACAACCAAGAAACAGCCGGATCAACAGGGAAGTTGGCTATGAAACAGAAAAATCTCTTGCTTTTATATACATTAGCATTTGCAAATTCCAATATTTGAAAGCTTATAATAAGCATCAAATTTACAAGGGACACAAAGAACTATAGCATATAAATTATGGATGCTCAAGAGTTTATGGAGTCTAATACACAAATGAGAAAACCTTTTACAAGTATATATGCTACTTATCAATGAATAAATACTGCTATAAAAACCATTCTGATTGCAACTAGCATACTATTCATGTAAATTTTCCTTTTATGTCATTTATAGTAGCAGGGTTATTGTATCATCTTGCCCAGCTGTATCATTTGACGATGAATAGTAATCAACATTGAATGCTTTCATTTTCTTTCTTTTTTTTAAACAAAAAAATAGAAGCAAGAGCCCAAGGCGAGGAATGTACAAACAAGGATAATAGTTTTTGCACAAGACTGCATGAAAATATCAGCTTCCACAATCCTTGGTGTAAGATCTGGAAAGGAGAACAAAATGAACCAAAAAAAAATCAGCTTAAGTATTTTCATGGACATGAAAAAATCAACAAAAGTCCTTGATGAAAGTACTTGATCTTGGAATTTATATGAGTTCTTTCTTCCAGCTACAAGTCACTATTAATTATATCATAAATGTAAATTTAAAATCTCAATCCAATCTTCTAAAAATCATCCTCCACAACCACCTTAAATAACCAGTCAATTTCTCTTTTATCCATGGGGGAATATAAAAAGACAAACATTTGCTCGTAGTTTCTACCTAAACTATTTAAGCATTAAAGCAAAAGACAAATTTGCTAACACCAAAACCCAAAACAAAACAAGTTTCAAATATTATGGTATACTATCAATCCTGGAATTCATAAAAGGGCCAGCCAAAATATCATGCAAAGACCGTTGGTTAAATATTTTCAATAATTTTAAAAGTTAAAAAACTGTATGTCATTTTTACACACTCACAAGCGTGCTAATGTCAAAATTATTGCTTTTGTTTATTGTTTGGAATTAGAATTTACATTCTCCTGATTTATAGTGATTGAGAAAGTGAATTAAAACTTTTTAATAAAAATTCACATGGCTGTTCCTTTCATGCCTATTTCACATTCATAGAATCAGTTACAGGGAAAGAAATCAGACACAAAAATTATCACGCTAAATACTCAACTTCAGTCAATTACAAAACAATATATATATATATCACTAAAGAAAAAGAAGGGTTCTAACATTTTATTCTGAGCAATGAGCAACAAAATTTTAAATTTCGAGTTAAAATAACTAAAATGAAATCTCTCAGTCTAGGTAAAATTTCAAATTTCAATTTGATATTTGGTTGATATAGCATGATATACTAACAAAATAGTTAAAGATAGGATAAAACCTTTTCCTAAAACCCTTTGTTGTAACTGCACATTTGATGCATCTTTCATGAGAACAGTCCTGGAAAGAAAAAAAGAAAGATATAAGAGAGAATCCAAAATATTTAAGCATTAAAAATGAGGTGATTTCAGAAGCTAGAAATCACTAGTAGATCTTAAACCAAATATTTAGGCATAACAGTATGACACGATTGCTCAAAATTAGCGAACTTGAAGAGAAACGTATCTATTCATAACAACAATCTGTCAGAATTTATAAAGGAACAATAAGATTTGGGAATTCTGAAGCAATTCTAGCAATCAGTTCTAGTCTAGATAAATAAGCAAATTAAAACACACCCATTTACAGAAAGCATGCCTTCTGCAAACTAAAACCTTTAAACCAAAACAAAAATGAAAAACAATTAAAAGGAAATATACCAAAATCTCAAAGAAGACGACTGAAAAGGCGAGTCCAAGCAAAATTCGAGCAGAGAATCTTTCCTACTACCAATGGCAATCACTTCGAGCACCCCACTATTCCCCTCCATGTTTTGCTCGTACCCATCTAACGATCTCGGTTGCTTCTCCATACTCATCGAAATTTTAAGGAGAGACTTCGGGTTGTAACTCAATCTTTTACAACACAAACTTTTGGCACCAAAGAATGAATTGAAGAAAACAGGGTTTGAAGATAAATGGGTCGATAAGGAAATGTGAGAAATTACACGAGAACCTGAGAAAATTGGGAACGACATTGAAGAAGTGGGCATTTCTCTTCTCTTCTGGCTGCAAAATATTGTCAGTCAGCTAGTTTTGCTTCCACCAGCAGATAGTTTTAAAGCATTATTCTGGGTAAACTATTCTACACGTCACCAACCTAAAACTATTTTTCTGTCACTTTCACCACTGAAATTTAGTCTTTATATTGATTTGATCATTAAACTTTAAAATACTTCAATTGTAACACTAAATTTTTAAAATTGATTTTTTTTATTCAATCATTAAATCGTTAACAGCTGGGTGATGTATAAGTTTAGTGCTTATGTGCTTTGATTTTGAAGCCAAAAATATTTTTTTATTCCACTTCATCATCTTCTTCCTGAAAATTAGGATTCTTCATTTTCAGTAGTCATTAAAAACTATTATTTAACAACTTCTTTTATAATCATCCTAGACAATGATGAATTTATCCTTTTGTTCTCTATCACTTTATTGGTCTAATTTTTTTCGAAACCTCTTTAAAATCCACGAAATTATACACAAAAATCCATCGTTTTTAGGGATATTCTATCTTTGTTAGATTGGAGAGATTTATGGTGTGTCAAAAGTATGGATACTGAGAAGCATTTTTTTCAACAAAAAAAAAGAACAACTTGCCTTGTAACTAGCGTGATCGAATGGCCATTGGAGGATACCGAAACTTTAGAATGTCGAACATTTAGATGAATTTTCGTTAATTTTTTATGAAGTTCCATAAGAAATCAATTCGAAAAAAATGAGTGAAATACAAACATTTTAATATCAATCTTGTTGCGAAACAATCAATAATAAACTACTATCGACAAACACTGACAATGAAATAAATTAATATTTTCTACACATGAACAAGAATATTTGGTCACATAATCACAATATTAACAATTTAACAACTTAATGATAAAAAATAATGTCAAAAGTTTAATGCTCAAATTGAAACGTTTTAAAATTTAATGATCAAATTAATACAAACTGAAGTTTGATGACTAATGGGATAGTGTACCCTAATATTTACTACAAAACAAAATCTAAACCAAATGGTAAATCACTTTACGATGATAAAGCCTAAAGCTTATCTACCGAAGTGATCGTTGTTATAGTTTATTATTGGGAGAGAGTTTACAAGAACCATCTGTTGGATTCTGCCAAGATTTCTTTGAGATCTGTTTTGGATTGGAGAGTCGGTCACGTATTCAGAAATATTTTTAAAAATAAATATAAATATATTAATAATATAAAATTTTCGTATAAAATAAATATAAATAAAATTTCAGACGAATACAATTAATAAAATAAACAAATAACACGTGATGGATCTGCCACCGTCACTAATGGATTATGGATAGTTGAAATTGATACGATTAAAACAACTATGGCCTGAAATTAGTCGTAACTACAGTGATGTCAACAAGAACTACTATACCCTCTGCATTTTCGTTCGTTTATTTATCATACCAAAGGGCCGGATTACGTATGCCCTTTGCATGTGTGGAGAAACTGAAAAAAAACCACCTCTACGTAAAACAAGTACATAGTTTCACCAACATACTTTGATTTCACTTGGATTTGATTAAATATATAAGATAAGATCGATTTACATCATAAAGATTTATACCTTTATAAGACAAAGTGAAAATAGACTATTAAAGTTATCTATTTATTTTTTTTCTTAAAAATTTCATTTTTATATTTCTTATTATTGATTCTAATCGTCTATTTTTAATTATCTAACAATTCTAAAAAATATAAAACTAAGAAAATTATAGGATATGAACAGATGTTGTCTCATGTGTGTGTGTATATATATATATATATATATATATATATATATGAGAGTAAGTACCCAATGGAGGATGATGATGGAAGCAAGTTTGTCCGGAAGGGATTGGGTCCACCGACCTGTAGGCTTCATCTCTATCCCTTTCTCTCGCAAACTCTAATTTATTCCGATTTTGTAATCTGACAGATATGTCCAAAATCAGGTAACAGAAAAAGGGTTGAGAGAGGAGAACCTGCTGAATGATGTATATGTGTTAAGTGTGATTGCATGACACCAAATCAGAGAAGAAACCGTTCTTTACAATTGTAGCTAAGATTTATCTTCTTACTCTTCTTCTTCTTCTCCTTCTTCTTCTTACTTTTCAATGTTCAACTCTCCCCCTTGATTTTAGTTTTTCTCAGTTTCTTCATATATGTGGGGTTTCAAAAGAGATTATTGGTAGTTGAGAAAAATATCGAAGGAAAAAAAGGTTTTGTTTTAAAGATGGAAGCATCTTCCTCCTCGGGGATTTTGTTTGGAATTAGAGAAGACAGTCAAGATCAGCAACAACAGCATTCCACCGTTCAAACTTCAGCTATGGGGCTAGCACCTCTGCCGCCGTCGCCGTCGCAGAAGAGAAGGAGAAACCAATCAGGAACACCAAGCAAGTATCCCGATCTTTATATATAAGTAAACCCTAAGTTTAGAATTGTACTATAAGAATTTGTTGTCTCTTGGCTTTTGTTTTTAACAGATCCAGATGCAGAAGTGATAGCACTGTCTCCCAAGAGCCTAATGGAAACAAACAGGTTCATTTGTGAGGTATGCAACAAAGGGTTCCAAAGGGAGCAAAACCTACAGCTTCACAGAAGGGGACATAATCTGCCATGGAAGCTTAGACAGAAGACCACAAAAGAAGTAACGAAGAAGGTATATATCTGCCCTGAGCCCACATGCGTCCACCACGACCCGTCCAGGCCGCTCGGCGACCTTACGGGCATCAAAAAGCATTACTCGAGGAAACACGGTGAGAAGAAATGGAAGTGCGACAAGTGTTCCAAGTGGTACGCCGTGAAATCCGACTGGAAAGCTCATTGGAAGATCTGTGGCACGAGAGAGTACAAATGTGACTGCGGCACTCTCTTCTCAAGGTATGTAACAAAATTTGCAGAATCCATTACAAGTCATGCATTACTTGTTCTTTCTCATTGGCACAAAAGGAAGAGGCGTTATAACAAACAGTTTCATGTTTTGTTTTTCCTTGGAACCACCGCCCCCTCTATTCACGTGCTGCTATATGGCATATGTAGAGTTTACTGTGTTTTTGTTGTCATTTTTGGTTATATTTATGGGTTTGCCGGACTTGTTTCAGGTCTTTGCTCTTGAAGCTGAGTCCACTCCTATCGTTGAAGAGGCCCCCCCTATCATTCTTCGAGAGTCCCCTCCCACCGATCAAGAGGCCACTGTCATCATTGAAGAGGTCCCTCCCACCATTCAAGAGCCCGATTCACATGGCGTCATATGTAGGCTTCTTGAGAAACCCTCTGACGTGCCGGACATGATGGATTCAAGTTGGCTCTCGTATGAGTTACCGGCCAGTACCATACCGGTATCTGAAGAGGAGAGGGAACAACTACCGGACACAATTCTGGATAACACCTTTTGGGCTAAGACCGCTGTTGATTTTTATCTACATGAGCGGAGCCAGGGGTGTTTCACTGACATATGCAAGCTCACCGATGATATCTATTTGTTGCTTGATCGGTCTTGGTGGGGCGTATTATTAGGGGTCGAAGACAATGGCTATTTCGATGGGGGGGTAAGTCTTATATTTTTCTTATATTTCAATTTGATTAATTTTTTTTTTAAATTTATGTAAGTCACTAATATATGTCTTTTTTTGTAAAACAGCATATCGATGCGTGGGTGACACGTCTTCTAATAATAAGAAAACTTAAGAAAAATAAAAATATACGATATACAATTATGCCGACGTCTTTTCACGCCGTTCACTTGAAGAATGCACGAGATGAATCATTTGATTTGGGCAATGGACAAGCTAAACTTTATCCTGCATGGTGGGAGGTCGATAAGGTTAGTATTTATTTTAGATTGAGTTTAAAGGTTTTATGAAATAAGTGCGCAAATGAATGAATTATTACTTATGATTGCAGGTGTTTATCCCTGTTTTGGAACGTAAACATTGGATTCTCGTCGAGCTTCAGCTCCCATCCCTTAAGACAATAGTGTATGACAGCATGATAAATTACATATCATTGGCTGATTTAAGAGATGTTATTAAGGGATGGAGCTCTCATTTGGCTAAATTCTTGGATGCGATCAATTATTGGACTCGTTCTGGAAACAAGAAGCCAAAGAAGCTCAATATTACAGTTATTAGAGACGAGACCGCGCCACAACAAACGAGCGGAGCCAGAGGAGATTGTGGTCCTCTCGTATGCTTGGCGTTGGAGCGTTTGACGACGGGAAGCATCAAGTATCTACCTCCCACCGATAGAGATAGAGCTGCAGTAGGCTTGTGGTTTCGGCATTATATGGCTAAATCGATATATACGAGACGCTGCCTACCTGCATCCGCGTTATAAAAATGTCCATAAACAATTGGTAAGTTTATATACTTTTGGTTTGAAAATGTTTGGTTAAGTACCTAGAATTCAATAATTTGCTGTTTGTAGGTTTTAGATGTGTAGAAAGTGTTGTTTGAGCAAATGTTTGGTTTCTGCAGGTTAATCTCAGAAGTGAACTGCGTGAAAATGATGTATGGCTGCAAAAGTTGATTCAATAGTTTAATTGATTGTTTTTTGATTGTTTAATTGATTTGTAAAAGTTGATTCAATAGTAGATGATCGGAAATAAGAATTATTGCTTATTTTTTGATTGTTTAATTGATTTGTAAAAGATGATTTGTAAAAGTTGATTTGTGTAATTGATGCGAACATAATTCTTATTTGTGCTTGTTTAATTGATTGAAATGTAATGGTTGATTTTGTTGATTTCAATCTGCATTATGTTGAAGGCAAAAATGACTATCGCAATGCGAAATGAAAATCGCAATGCGAAATGAAAATCGCAACGAGAGAATCGCAATGCGAAATGAAAATCGCAATGCGGAAATGAAAATCGCAACGAGAGAATCGCAATGCGATTTTCATTTCGCATTGCGATTTTCATTTCGCATTGCGATTATCTCGTTGCGATTTTCATTTCGCATTGCGATTTTCATTTCGCATTGCGATTCTCTCGTTGCGATTTTCATTTCGCATTGCGATTCTTTCGTTGCGATTTTTATTTCCGCATTGCGATTTTCATGTTGGGATTTTCATTTCGCATTGCGATTCTCTCGTTGCGATTGTAATTTCCGTGTTGCGATAGTCAAATGCATGCCTAATAGTGATAACAACTGAATAACAAGAGTTGGTTAAGTCAAATGGTTGGCCTGAGTCATTAATTCAACTGAAAATGTTAAAAGTTCACACATAAATCCACATAATACAACGTTTGCATATGAGCTTTTGATGGCAACGTTTACATAATACACATAAAATGTTAAATGTTAAAACGTTTACATAATACAACTGAATAACAACGTTTACATAATACAAAGTTCACACCATATGAGCTTTGGATTTTGATGAGGATCCATATTTTGGTAGAGGAAAAGATGATTTTGATGGCACTGGTGATCCACATGTCAACCTTGTATGACCACTTTCCTTGCACCGACTACATGTCGATCTTCTTCTCTTCACCCTTAGACGGTATACGATCGTGACTTTTTGGTCGGCCAGGTAGCCTTCTGTCCATGGCTGGTGGCAAAACTGTTTGTAAGTCATCTGGTATGTCCCACTCAGAAGGATGTGGAATAGGGTAGACAATCTCGGCATAAGTCTGTCGATAAACTTCTGTAGTGTAGCAATCCATAGCGTATGCGCTTGAATCATCTTGGTTTAAATGAAGAGCAACTTTTATAACATGGCCACACGGATAACCAGATGTTTGCCATTTCATACAACTACACGTCTTTGCATTTAGATCGACTAGCCCATTTAAGTTATTATCCAGTACTTGAAACAAAGTGTTTGAACATGGTTCAACTCTCCATGACGTTGACTTCACAACACGTTTCGTTATCTTTTTTTCAGTCCATGGTGTAACACGATGTTCCAATGTTCCTGTAAATTTAAATAAACAATACTTAGTAAAATATAAAATGATAAGTTACGAATTCAAAGAAATAATACCTGCATGGTTTCTTTTCTTGTAGTACCACTGTTGAATAGAGGCTCGAAAAAACTCCATTAACATAGTAATGGGTAATTTCCGGGAATGACGACTTAGAGCGTTGATTGATTCTGCACTATTAGACGTCATGAAACCATATCTTACTCCAAGTTGATGTACTCTTGACCATCTTTCAAACCCGACATCTTCTAGTGTTTGAGCACACTGAGGCAAAACACGTCTTAAACAATTTATATGCTTATTGAAATCCACTTCCCGATAAGCTTTTACAGCCTTCCAGTATGTCCATTTGTGCTTTTTTATACCAGCAGACCTTGATTTTAGATTTCTATACAAATGAACACCACAAAGTCCATGAAAAGCATCTGGGAAACACCTTCTAACAGCGTTGTCAATTGAGTTTGCCCTATCGGATATGATTGTCAGATTGCTAATAGGACTTATGCAATCCCTAAGATGCCCCATAAACCATGTCCATGAATCAGAGGTTTCAGATTTGCCAACCCCGTAAGCTATTGGCAATATCCCATTGTTAGCATCCATGGCTACTGCTAATAAGTTTACTCCAAGGTATCGACCTTTCAAATGTGCTCCGTCAACTATAATAACTGGGCGCATGCAAGTAATAAACGAACGAATCTACAAAATAATATACACAAGAAATATAATCATTTAAATGTGAAATGCATGTAACTAACAAAAATGAGTCAACAAAATTATATTGATTTACTAACCGTAGCACCAATGGCGATAAACAGCAACTCAAAGCGTCCATCTCTATCTGTTTGATATGAGTTACGACCCAGGATTTTTCAGCTTTAAATTGTGACAATAAGCCGGCAGTTGGGCAAACGATGCTTCTGGCGACCCCCTCAACAATTCCAAGGCATAACATTTGGCTCTCCAAGCTTGAGAATATGATATACTAATCTTGAACCGAGCATTCATGTCAGTCATAATTTCATGTCCCCGATATACCCTGCCATTCAAAACATTAACTCAGCCAGAAACCACCCAACACCTTTTTGTTTGCCTGTCTATGGTGAGGAAAAACTTGGGTTCTTGAACATGTATGTTTATCAATAAAAGTCCTAACTTGAAACATTTGCAATCTTTTATTCTCTTTGCAATCATACGCCACGTACAGTTTTTGTCAATCATACACCTTGTTTCGAAACGATCTTTGCTTGATTTGTTAACTTTTAGTTGATAGCCATCTTCCACACATTTCGTATACAAAGCTATCTTCAAGTCTTCCTTTGTATCAAAACAATCATCTTTCTTGATACGAATAACTTTTGTGTAACAATCAACTGCTTTCTTTATCAACTCTTCTTCCGGTATCTGAAGTAATTCTGGCATATTCCAGTTATACGCCCGTGGCATTTTCTTTTCTTCGGGGACTTTTTCTTCTTCTTTTTCTTCTTCAGGATTATATGAATTACAGAATGGATGTTCAACATGTTCATTCACAGTCGTAACTTCCTCCTCATTATCATCAATACATTCTTCGGCAACGGCTGTTTCATCATCAAAATTCGGGTATTGACCAATATCAAAATCATTACACGCAGGGTCTGTTTCTTCTTCTGAAACATCATCAAAATCCGTGTATGACCAATATCAAAGTCCGGATATTGACCAAGACCAAATTTCGAATACTGACTAGTACTAACAATTTTTCTGTTGGCTCATCATCGTCTAACTGGTCAATACGAAAATCGGAATTTGGTGCTGAAAGTTGATTGGGATTTGGATTAGAGAAAGGTTGTGGGTTTTGAGAAAAACTTAGTTGATTACTACCCGCTACTGACCCAACAATACTACTTCTAGGTTCAACAACATACAATGTAACATCATCTTGTGAAACACTAATGTAAGCAATGAATCGTTCAACATCTTTATTGTCGGTTAACAAATAAACTTTACCATTTCTCTGATAAGATAGCCTAAATCCACTTAGGGGCTCTAAATTCAATTTATTGAAACACGTAGCATTAGAGTTTCATAAGTTAACTTTTGTAAAGACAATTTTAGTTGAAGATTCATGGGTAAAGGCATATATTGTAAAACACCATTAACATTATCCCATGACCCTCCAAAACACAAATCTATCCAAACAT